ATGTAGGTTTGTGATTCTTAAAGACAAGCTAAGAATACACTAGGATGGGAATTGCTAGGATAATTTAAATTAATACAATACCTATTACTAATGACAAAGACAATATGACCATTGACAAGTTGATAACTTCTTTTTACACCCAAAAATAACACCCCACACACCAATGTGGTCAAATATGATCATCATCCATAAAGCCCACAGGTAATAGCCCTTCCGCCAATTGCCCATCTCTTGGTACCCTATAACGATAAAAACATGCCGCAACAATATATATCACAAGATTTACAGCACCTAATGAAGCTAGCACCCAATAATAGTTATCTAATCGACTAGCATTCAATGTGGTTTGAAACCAATTTGTTCCCGTTCTTTTCTCGCTAATCTTCCCAACAATGTCGACTAACACAACACTTCCCATGACCCCGAGGCCAAAGAAGCCCCTCGCGAATAGATTAAAGTACTTAACCATGGATTTAGGGGCTTGATCCAATGATAGCCCGTAAGCACTCAATCGATGAATGCCATCATGACAACCAAGCAACACAAATTGAAACAAAAGCCAAAATACGGTCATAGGTACTCTTTCGTTTGGCTTGTCAATTAAGTCATGACTCTTGACAACACCGAGCCTTCTTGTCTCTATTTTTGCTGCCGCGATGCAAGCAAGTGTGGCGTATATCATGGCAGCCGCGATTCCAATTCGTGAAATGTAACGTCGAGTACTTGAGGCCATTGTTGGTAAGAAGCCTTTAGTGAAGCTTTTCCTAAAGTGGTCATAAAACCAATAGAATAGTATAAGAGGGGCTTTTGCCTTTCCTACTCTACGGTCCAAGTGATTCGCTTGCTCGAGGAAGTAGGTAGCCCCTAAGGATGATACAAAACCGCAAACAATGAAGGTCATCCAAATTGGAATTGTGCGTATAAATAGCTTGGTTTCTTCTACTTCTGTTACTTTGCAAAGGCTCCATCTTTTCTTCTCTTGTTGCTCTAGCACGGGTTCTGCTTCGATTATAGCTGCCTTGTCGAGGCACCTGCGAATTGCAAAGCGTAAGATTACATACAAATTATATGAAAATTAACTCTTCTTGTACTCATGTAACTTTTTATAAACATGTTTTGGTATACTATGTTAGTTTTAATTAGCTAGCTAGTTAATACAAGACGTAGTTTTTCAGATACTTAGCATGTTGAATATATACTTCATCCGTTTCATTTTACTCGTTAGAATTTGACATTTGCAACTATTCACATATACATATGTTTGACCATCTTTAATGATTGATCTTATATAAGTGTGACACAACTGAGATCTTGTTATATTCTCTCTATTTATAATTTTTTTAATGATTGAGTTCTGCATCGATAAATATAAAAGTCAAAATGTTGCAAGTACAATGGAATGAAGAAAGTACATTCAGATAGCAGATAGGTATGACATAGAATAAGTCAGAATTAATTTTTAACCTGAGGCCATTGGTATGAGGCAATAATTCACGGAGAGAGTCATCAGAGTTTTCATAGAGCTCATTCGTATCTTTTGGGCGCGAGCAAAAGCTCTTGGAGGCAGCAACGAAAAGAACCCGAAAGATTGTAGTCAAGGGGCTCCCTTGTGGCCTAGGAGCAGGGTTCCCAACCCCTAAGCAAACCCTAAAGATTAAGCAAAAAAAGAAAGAAACCACACCAAGTATAGCACAAATTCCAAACAAAATAGCCCATGGCTTGACAAAGGCTGCTATTAAGAGCGCGGCAAAGGCAACCAAGTGAGTACGACACCACCCTACGCGACGTGTACTATTACTAGCAGCAGCCTCCTCTGCTTGCTCCTGCGCAAAAGGCGCATAGCAAGCAGAGAGAGCAGCCATTCCCAACGCGGTGAATACGAGCCCCGAATAAAACAGTTGTTTTTGCTGCTCGCCAATGCATTCAGGCTTGTATTGGGTGCAATTTCCATTTGACTTGCCCAATATTGGTGGTGTTGACATCCATATTAGACCAAGTCCCTACATTAATATTATTCAACATTATATTTGGTACAAGAAATATTGATTAAGCTGACATTAGCTTAATTATGTCACAAAAAACAAATTAATAATAATTAATAATCTCCTTGCATAATATCTATTAGACAGAAATTAAAACCAGAATAATAATGCACTCATGGGCGGCTTAATACAAAAATCTTATTATATATAGAACCTATTATCAAATAATTTGGATTCGAATGACAACCAAAGAGTTGAATTATTGGTATAAACCAGCTTATATAAGACAGTTATTTGAAAGGGAGATTAAATTTGTTTTAAAAGTTTAGTTATATATATAACTCATTACTTATTGTTCATAATTACCAAGATTATTACATGGTCCGAAACAAATTAAATATAATTAGTTGTTGGGTCAGACTAATTCTCCAGCATATATTCAAGAAATTGAGAAAAAAGTGTGATATTTTTTTATTCTAACAATTAATTTTAGAATGAATGGAATACTGATCCGCTTGCAATTAGACTCCTAATTTTTATTCTATTTTTTTCAATTCACAAAGAGTTGACTAAGTTCATGCAAATATTGAATCGTAAGAAGTTTATTGCCTAGCAATCAACTTAGTTATTAAGATAAGAGTATATCAATTACTTGACCTGTTTCATTTATCAAATTTGTCAATGCAAAACTTTGATCATCAATAACTTTTAATTATTCATAAGTAAATATTATAAAAGTTATATATTATGATAGAGCTTATTGAGATGATTCCTAATATCTTAATTACATTCTTACACATGAATATGTTTTTTTCAATTCCCTACGTATAATTCACAAAAGACAATCAAGGGAGGGGTGGTAAAAAGTGTATGGTAATAGTCAAAGCGGGTCAAGTAAAAAAGAACGAAAGAAGTATAAGATAAGATAAATTAAGATGACTTACAATCATGGAGGAGAAGCTGCTAAAGAGGACAACGAAAGAGTTGCCTAGAAAAGCATCGGCGAGGTAAGCAAAGACAATAGGCAGAATTTTGATGAATCCCATCCAAATATTGATAATTGCAGCTGCATGAATTAATTTAAGCTCCCATACATCGGTTAAGTACACCATCATTAGCCACAATATATACCCGGAAAACAAATTCACCCATTTTTGCAAACGTACTGCATACATATTCAAAGGAATGAAATAATGGAGTTAGTTAATCAAAGTTAGACGTCATATGATCAAGAATGAACAAACTAAAAGTGTCACAACATTCCAAACAATCTTAGAGAAAAAAATATATATAAAGACAAAAAGTATTGTTGGTAAGAGGGAGAAATTAAATAATAAAAAAGTACATAGTAGTATTTGTGAAAGTGGGGTTATTGAGAGAGAGATATTATAAAATAATGGAGTATTCAATATGAAATGGATGTAAAAGGGAAGGAGTGTTGTGATTAATATGAAATGGAGGGAGTATATAAATGACGTACAGAATACTTTAGTAATCCGTTAAGACTTATAAGGTAATACTTGTATATTATATTCAAGCTTATTCATGACCTTTTCGAGCCTATCTTTAGATTTTTTCAATATTTAAGTATCGAGTGAATTGAGAGTTGATAGTCCTTCCTACGGTGGTTTTACCCTCTCAATATATTGGATGTGGAGAGACTCCTATCACCCACAAGCATGATGAAATGAGTAGTTCGATGCACAAGTTAATGTTTATGCCTTTGATATACCTAATTTAAGTTATATGAAGAAGTATAAGATTAAAATTAACAAATTATTAGATTTACTACATACTCAATATGCCAATATACTCCATAGCTCCACTGTTTTGTACTCCTGCCAAGGTGGTTTGAGCTGAAGACAATAATCTAGCCTTTAAATTGCCCTTTCACCTAGATAAAACACACAATTATTTTGTAATTAATTGGCAAAAAGCCTAGAATAAAGCAAAATCACCAAATATCAAATTTACATTTTTAAAAAAAAGAAGTGAAATTTAGTTATAGAATATATAGTTAGAACAAGATGCTAAAAAAAGAAGAATATGATCATAGCGAAAATGAAAAAAAGAAAAGAGGCAAATTAAAGAAGATGATAATAAGCTGAAAACTAATTAGTATTTACCTATATTGGTTGATTGGTGTACAGAAAATTTAGCAAAGGAGGGTATTATATACAAGTATATAGGATCCTTAAATCAGTCAGCAAATAATTTCTCCTAAGAAACATATATGTATAGAATAAGGAGGCTGCTAAGCAACCTTATCTTAATAAAATAACTACTTGCAATGCAAGTAGCTTTAATGAAAGTTTTATTAACTATTATAGATTATATATTATTGCTAATGTAATAATTATAATCATCTTACGTGAGTTGCCAGTTAGCCACCTTATTACTACAACGAAAAAGAATCAAACATATATATTGACCCAACTTGTCCAAACTTTATGGTCATTTTATACCCAAAACATTGTTGTTGTAACTTGTAACAATAATAACATGTGCCAAATTCGTACGTTCGTACCAACCTTTATTCTTTTTTTTTTTTGGTAGACTTCATTATAGTCTTTCAATAAATAAGTTAAAATAAAATATAATAACATAAAATTGATGGGCGTTCTTTCAAGTGTTTTACAACTAGAATGGGCTTGGCTAAAGGGGCTTGTATACGTTGTGCTCTTAGTATTGGGTCTAAAAGGGTACGAAATACGGTTTGATTTTCCGATATACTAACTCTGTTAATGGTTATCTACAATTTTGGATTTTTTTCACAAATAATACCCCAAAGTTGCAAGTAAACCATTAACAAAGGTAGTAACATTTTCTGGTAAAGGATAAAAATTACACAACTTAATTATAGATGATTAATATCCTTTTATCAAGTGATTTTTTAATTTATAAATCGTTAAGACAATGTGATCCCAACTTATTATTTCAAGTAGATCGAAAAGGTTGTATAAAATTTCAAATTGGGAAGGGGGATCGAGCGAGGAGTTATATCAAGTGATTATTTTATTTATAAATCGTTAAGACAATATAATCGCAACTTATTATTTTAACTAGATCCAAAAGGATGTATAAAAATTCAAATTGGGAAGGGGGATCAATGAGTTATAACATCCTTAGAGAAGATCAAGAATACAATCTAACTCGATAATTTAAAACACTAACACAACAATAAACAACATTAAGGAATGTAAATCGATCATATGCATAATGCAACAAGTCAATCAAAAATCATCATCCATGAAGTTGAATGCTCCTTGCACCATCTGCTCTAATCTGGATTCCCTATATCGATACAAGCAAGCCACCACAATATAGACAACAAGATTAACCGCGGCTAGTGTAGCCAACACCCAATAATAGTTGTCTAATCGACTTGTGTTCAATGTACTTTGAAACCAATTTGTTCCTGTTTTTGCCTCACTAATCATCCCAACAATGTAAACAGAAACAACACTTCCCATGACCCCAAGTCCGAAGAACCCCCTAGCGAAAAGATTGAAGTACTTAATCATGGAGCTAGGAGCTTGATCGACGGAAAAGCTATAAGCACATAACCTTTGAATACCATCGAGGCCACCAAGTAACGCGAATTGAGGCAATAGCCAAAATATAGTCATAGGTACTCTTTCGTCTGGCTTGTCAATTAGGCCATGATTCTTGACAACTCCGAGCCTTCTTGTCTCAACCTTTGCTGCCGCGATGCAAGAAAGTGTAGCGTACATCATTGCAACCACTATTCCAATCCTAGGTGCATAACGGCCACTTAAAGCAAATGTGCCAAGGAAGCTAGTGGTGAAGCTTCTTCGAAATTGGTCATAAAACCATAAGAAGAGTATAAGAGGGGCTTTTGCTTTCCCTGCTCTAGGATCCAAGCGTTTCGCTTGCTCGAGAAAGTAGGTAGCTCCTAAGGATGATACAATGCCACAAACAATGAAGGTCATCCAAATTGGAATTGTGCGAATAAATGTCTTGGTTTCCTCTACTTCTGTTACTTTGCAAAGGCTCCATCTTTTTTTGTTCTTGTTGCTCTAATGATGACTCTGCTTTGATTATAGCTGCCTTATCGAGACCACTGCAATGTGTAACAAAAAACAACACTAGTTAATAAAATTAATATTCTCTCTTGATCACCTAGACCATTTTATGAACCCTAGTGCTCTAAAAAATATATATACCACTTAAATTTACGACAAAATGAGGGGAAATTAGTGGTTTTGGACTATACTCCAACTAAAAACATGAGTAAAACAAATAATTTCACCTATATATTTTGTATCTTATAAGAGTACGATTAACTCATCCACCATACAACCAGGTGTACCTTGATAAATACAGCATGTGATTGTACACGGTAAATTGAGCAAAATAATTTTTGTAAATTAGTTTTTAGATACATAGTATTACAATAGCTCCATGAAATTAAATGTTTCTTAGATTTTAAGTCAACTTGTGAAAAAAACAATTGTAAGGAACTTAAAAGAAACAGAATTAGTAATAGAAGCAATAATATAATTGATTAAGCAGGGGAGTTTATTTACCTAAGGCTCTTCGAATGGGGCAATAATTCTTGATTAGGGTCAGGTTTTTCATATAGCCCGTTCGCATCATGAGGCCTTCGACAGAAACTCTTGGAGGAAGCAGCAAAAAGAACCCGAAAAATTGTAGTAAGGGGGCTCCCTTGTGGCCTCAAAGCAGGGTTATTATCATTGCACCCTTTTGTAACCCTCAAAATCAAGCAAGCAAGAAAAGAAAGCACACCAAGTATGGCACATATCCCAAATAAGATAGCCCATGGCTTGACAAAAGCGGCTACAAGGAGCGCGACTAGAGCAACCTAGTGAGTGCGACATCCCACAATACAACACACACATTCACAATCACAACTGTCATCGATCACCTCTAAATGTTCCCGTGAATAGGGTGCATAGCTAGCAGTATGAGCCGCGATTCCCACTGCAGTAAAGGCCAGCCCCGCGTATAAGAGTTGTTTCTGCTGCTCACCGATGCATTCAGGCTTGTATTGGGTGCAATTTCCGTTTGACTTGCCCAACACAGGTGGTGTTGACATCCATATTAGACCAAGTCCCTACAATTATTTACCAATAATGTTGATTACAAGACATGTTACTTAAGTTGACCTTAGTTTATGTATAAAAAAAATACTTCATATATAGATAAATAAAATAAAATCAAGTTTCTATTGTTGATTATGCCCCATGTTATGCGCATAATCATTAAAATGTTATGCATAACAGTCATATTTCAAATGACCACTGTAAATGTTCAGAATATTACAGTAATTTTCTTCCTCAAAATAATTTGTATCGTCTATGTTTAAAGAAATATATGATTAAATTACTTACAATCATGGAGGAAAGGCTGCTAAAGAGGACGACGAAAAAGTTTCCAAGGAAAGAATCAGCAAGATGAGCGAAGACAATGGGCAAAACTTTGCTCAACCCCATCCATATATTAATAATCGCGGCCGCATGAATTAATTCAAGCTCCCATACATCGGTTAAGTATACCATCATTAGCCACAGTATATAGCCCGCAAACATATTGACCCATTTTTGCAATTGTACTGCATTTTTCAAACGAAATAAAATCTAGTTAAACAAGAACCATATATATGTAATTTATTACATAACAAACATAAATATATGTTACGGACAATTAATATAAGACATCAAAGATACATACTCAAGTTGTTGATATACTCCGCCATAGCACTAGGCTTCTTTATCTGGTACGTTGAAATTGATCAATATTATCAGAATCTAATGTACATTGAAATCGACTATTGGATTGTCTTTAGAAGTAGATGAACAAGCTAGCTAGCTCGAGCACGTCAGGAACTATCCTATGGCTGAAAAGACGATCATGTAACGGAATGAAATGTGTTGGGTTGAGTGGTTGACTAATCACAAATGCTGAAAGTCTCTAATATATATTGGTTGTACTCGTACATGAAACTAGTTTATAGTTTTATATATATGTATATCCTTCTGCATAAGTTCCAGGTTGTATTCGTTTGTTGGTTGTACACTTGCACTTATATTAATGAGAAAAAAATGCTTTAAAGTCATGGGACAACTAATTGACCCATTATTATAACTATTTCCTCCATTTTTTAGATACATCACTTTGTATCAATGAAAATTTTATTCAAAATGCAGTAGTCCAAAAATTACTTAGACATTATACCATATCGATCAAAAGTGATACATCTAAAAAAACGGTAAAAGTACTTGTAATCATGATTAGTAATCTATTTGTGGGCCTAAAAATTTAATTTGTACCACTCCTAATCACAAGGAACATGGAGTAGCTAGTGCCTTTGTGGGTTTTATTAACCTCTATAAATTGAACATTTTAATTCATTACAAAATGTCTTACTTTGTCATTCCAAAATGGAATTTTTATGTGTCTCAAGTGGAAGAATTGTAGAAAACATATATTTTATCTCCAATTCTCCACGTTCTTAAGTCAGTTACTTCAATTCCAAATTATATTCCTTACATATCTCAAATTAATGTATTCAATATATTAGTTGAATCAAGGTATAGCCCCCGACTCGAGATTCATTTTGCAGGTTCACATGAGACCCAAATCCGAGGCCCGCAGACAGCCCATCAAGTCTAGATTGTCAATTTTTTGTGGAAACAATGTCAAATTAAACACTTTCAACTAGAGCTGTCAAAAGTTGATACGATCTGAATTACCGACTCAAACCCGATTATTAACTGACCCATCTGAACCCGAAAAAATGGTGACCCAAACCCGACCAGACCTAACCTGAAACCAACCCTAGACCCGAGTTGACTCGAGTATGTAAGACCCGAACATGAACTGACCTGGAGATGATTCGACCAGAATGTAACCCGTAAATTATTGACCTGAATCGAATCCGACTTGAACCGAAATTGACCCAAACCCGTTTTAACCCATCAAAACCCGAATTTAACCCGACTTGTTACTAACTTGACCTGAATTCAACCCGACCCTTTCCTAACCCGACCCGAATTTAACCCAACCTGTTACAAACCCGATCCGAAATCAACCCGACTTGTTATTGACCTGACTCAAATTCAACCCGACTTATTATTGACCCGACCCGAATTTTACCAAACCTATTACTAACCCGACCCAAAAATTCAACCCGATTTGTTAATAACCCGACTTGAAATCAACACGACTTGTGATTGACCCGACCTAAATTCAACCCCAATTGTTCCTGACCCGATTTCAAATCACCTTAAATGCAATTTAGACCACCTTATTATTGTTGATCAAAGCATTTTGTCTAGGGAGACAAAGTCGGTCCAAGCAAAAGAAAGGAGCATCATCCTCAAATTTAAGAGTTAAATATATATAGTATATATTTGTTGTATGGTCAAAGGAGATAATTATCTTCCTAAATTATAAACTATAGTTCTGTAGTATATTGCCATATATATTATAGTCAAAGGAAAAAATTAGCTTGATAAAAATGATAATTATCCATTTATAGTTAATTGAACCCGAATATGACCTGACATGGAAATGACCCGGCCTGATTGTAACATGCAAATTATTGACTTGAACATAATCCGACTTGACTCCGAGAATGACCCGACTTGGAAATGACCCAACCTGAACCGAACCCGACTTAAACCCGAGAATGACCCGACTTGAAAATAACCCGACTTGATTATAACCCGCAAATTATTGACTTGAAGCAAACTCGACTCAAACCCGAGAATGACCCGACCTGATTCTAACTCGCAAATTATTGACTTGAACCGAACCCGACTCGAACCCGGGAATTACCCTAACCCGTTTTAACCCGTGAAAACCCAATTAAACCCGACCTATTGTTCACCCGACCCGAATGTAACCCGACCTGTTATTAACCCGACTTAAACCCGACCCAAACCCGATAAGAAGTATGACCCGACATGTCCCGATTCAAGCATGACCTAACCCAAACCTGACCCGCATAGGTTATGGAATTAATCCGAATTGACCCGACCCGAGTTGGCCCGATCCACTCTTACCGACCCAAACCCGACTCGTTTACCCGAATTGACAGCTCTACCCAAAACCTCCAAAATTTCTCAAAAAGCGTTGATATTAGCCTTCAATTTTGGAATTTTTTGACTTTTTTTCACCCGGAAATAAAAATTGCTGAAATGTTTAACATGGTCCTTAATACCCTCTGGGAGTAAAATTGGGTGGGTAGAACCATCCAATTTTCCTCTAAACGATCAATTTACCGATTTACAACTTGCACCGATTTCAGTAATTCAAGCCTACCACGAACATTTATGATAATATATAATGATCATATATTGTTCCAAACGACATTATATGACTCCAAGATGTATCCCTTAAAATCTCAAGCCTTTTTGATACCGGGCCCCGAAACTTCCAAAATTTCTTAAAAAGCATGGATATCTTCAATTTTGGAATTTTTTGACTTTTTTTTGCCCAGAAATAAAAATTGCAGAAATGTTTACCATGGTCCCTAATACCCTCTAGGAGTCAAATTGGGTGGGTGGAACCATCCAATTTGCCTTTAAACGACCAATTTACCGATTTACAACTTGCACCGATTTCAGTAATTCAAGCCTACCACGAACATTCATGACAACATATAATGATCATATATTGTTCAAAACGGCATTATATGACTCCGATATGTATCCCCTAAAATCTCAAGCCTTTTCGATACCGGGCCCCGAAACCTCCAAAATATTAGCCTTCATTTTTGGAATTTTTTGACTTTTTTTTGCCCATAAATAAAAATTGCCGAAATGCTTACCATGGTCCCTAATACCCTATGAGAGTCAAATTGGGTGGGTGGAACCATCCAATTTGTCTTTAAAAGGCCAATTTACCGTTTTACAACTTGCACCGATTTTATTAATTCAAACCTACCACAAACATTTATGACAACATATAATGATCATATATGGTTCCAAATAGAATTATTTGACCCCGGGATGTATCTCCTAAAATCTCAAACCTTTTCGACATCGGGCCTGAAACCTTCAAAATTTCTCAGTAAGTGTGGATATATATTAGCCTTCAATTTTGGAATTTTTTGACTTTTTTTTTGCTCGAAAATAAAATATGCCAAAATGTTTACCATGGTCCCTAATACCCTTCGAGAATCCAATTGGGTAGGTGGAACCATCCAATCTGCCTTTAAACGGCCAATTTACCGATTTACAACTTGTACTGATTTCATTAACTCAAGCCTACAACGAACATTTATGACAACATATAATAATCATATATGGTTCCAAACAACATCATATGACCCCAAGATGTATCCCCTAAAATATTAATATTTTCCTACACTGGGCCAAAAAACCTCCAAAATTTATTAAAAATCGTGGATATTAGCCTTTAATTTTGAAATTTTTTGATTTTTTTCGCCCGGAAATAAAAATTGCCGAAATGCTTACCATGGTCCCTAATAACCTCCGGGAGTCCAATTGGGTGGGTGGAACCATCCAAATTGCCTTTATACGACCAATTTACCGGTTTACAAATTGCACCGATTTCATTAATTCAAGCCTACTACGAACATTTGTGACAATAAATAACGATCATATATGGTACCAAACGACATTATATGACCCCGAGATATATCCCATAGAATTTTAAGATTTTTCGACATCGGCCCCGAAACCTCCAAAATTTCTCAAAAAGCGTGGATAATTAGCCTTTAATTTTGGAGTTTTTTGACTTTTTTTCGCTCGGAAATAAAAATTATCGGAATGTTTAACATGGTCCCTAATACCCTCCGGGAGTCCAATTGGGTGTGTGGAACCATTCAATTTGCTTTTAAACGACCAATTTACCAGTTTTCAACTTGCACCGATTTACCGGTTTACAACGGCCAATTTAATTAACTTGCACTGAACCCGACTTGAACCGAAATTGACCCAAACCCGTTTTAACCTTTCACAACCCGAATTTTACCCGACTTGTTACTAACCTGACCTGAATTCAACCCAACATGTTCCTAACCCGACCCGAAATCAACCCAGCTTGTTATTGACCTGACCCAAATTCAACTTGACTTGTTATTGACCCGACCCGAATTTTACCATACCTATTACTTACCCAACCCAAAAATTCAATCCGATTTGTTACTAACCCGACTCGAAATTAACACGACTTGTTATTGACCCGACCTAAATTCAACCCAAATTGTTCCTGACCCGATTTCAAATCACCTTAAATGCAATTTAGACCATCTTATTATTGTTGATCAAAGCATTTTTTCTTGGGAGACCAAGTCGGTGCAGGCCAGCAAAAGAAAGGAGCATCATCCTAAAATTTAAGAGTTAAATATAATACATATTTATTGTATGGTCAAAGGAGATAATTATCTTCCTAAATTATAGACTATAGTTCCCTAGTATATTGCCATATATATTATAGTCTTGACTTGAACCGAACTCGACTCAAACCCGAGAATGACCCGACTGATTCTAACCCGTAAATTATTGACTTGAACCGAACTCGACTCGAACCCGAGAATTACCCAAACCCGTTTTAACCCGTGAAAACCCGAATTAAACCCGACCTATTGTTCACCCGACCCAAATGTAACCCAACCTGTTATTAACCCGACCCAAACCCGATAAGAAGCATAACCCGATGTGACCCGACTCAAGCATGACCCAATCCAAACCCGACCCGCTTATGTTATGGAATTAATCTAAATTGACCTGACCCGAGTTGACCCGGCTCACTCTTACCCGACCTGAACCCGACCCATTTACCCGAATTGACAGCTCTACTTCCAACAATTGTCTAGCACATTCACACATGTTAGGTAGGCCAACTCATATGACCCCTAAAAAAACTATCCTAACTTTTTTTTTTTAACAATTGAAAATAGATTAAGCTTCTTTTGTTTTGATAGAAAACATTTTTCATGAAACTTAAAAAAAAAAATATACGTAGTATAATTATTGGAAATTAACATGATTGAGAGGGTTTTCCTTTGCTATTGTTTGATAATAGGAAAGTTTACGGAGAAGAAGAAAAATGGAAGTAAAAGGGAGGGGAAGAATAGAGGAGAGAAAATAGAGAAGTAGCTTAGTGAAGATCACAGAGGAAGTGATGTGACATGCCTTTTTTACAAAACGAAAATGATTTCCTTCTCTAAAAACTAACTTTTCACATGTTGAAAATTATCTTACCATTTAACAAAACAAAACAAAGGACAATGGAAAATGGAAAATGAAGGAAAAGAATTCTCCATGAAATTGTTTACTACCAAAATAAACAGAGCCATCTAATAAAAAGATCGAGTAACTTTCAAAATCGACTAATAAAGTGATAAAATTTTCACCCAATTTCTATAATAAGATAATATGTACAACAATTTCATTTACATATGGATTGTTCACGGGATCTCAAAAAGATTTTAATATAATTAAAGCCTAGCCTAGTTCAATTCGATTCCTTAATTGTTGCAAATCTTCTTCCCTATGTCATTTCATTTGCATTATTATGGTCCTACATCGCTTAGCAGAAGAACGCCTCTAAGACAATCTATAAAGCCTATTATAACAGTTCTCTAAGGCCTTTTTGTCGTAGTGGCTCTAGTAGATGATTGAATAAGATGATGATGCAAACCTCCTATGTGAAATTAAGTTGTTCCAATTCCATGTCGGCATCTCCTTCTAGAAAGATGTAGCTTATTCCAATTATATTACAAAGTCAACACTCTAGAATGCCAATTGAAAGAGTGTCCTTCGTCCAATAATAAAAGGATCAAATTAAAAGGACAAGTTTTTTTTTTTTTTTTTTTTTGAGGGAATTAAAAGGACAAGTTCGTGATTGGATAGTTTGCAACTTAGCAAAAAAGAAAAGAAGAAAAAAAAAATCCAAGTTGTATTTGAATAGTCAAAAAGTCAAAACAGTGCTGTAATTGCTAAATTGACGACGACTTCAAACGGCTAACAAGCTGCAAGTCAACCTGAAGGTGAACTATGCACTGCATATGAACATGGGTATATATTGTACGTCGAAAAAAATAAAATAAAATAAATAAATAAATAAAAGCTACTTAGTACTATATAAGTAAAATTTTAATTTTATACTTAGTATGTACTTCCCTAGAAAACCTTCTTCGTTAAATAATGTTGTATTGTGCATTATATCAACCGTGTCTAGTCTAGATACAGTAATAAAGTATGCCACTATCTCAATTTTCTTTAATTTTATGCTTTCTTTGCAATTTAAGTTTTTGGATCAATTCGATATATCTTCCAAGTTTTTTTTAATTATGCTTGATGTGCATATCATAATGTTGCATTTTTTCAGTAGAAATCGTAATCGTTGATATTACAAATCCATGGCATCAATTTTCCGGGTGACAGGTAATAGTTCCATATCCACGTACTATTTATCATGCGTCTTACTCTTGTATACTTTTTCTGTCCCATATATAGATATTCTGTTCTGTACATATTTAACTATTCATTTGATCAAACTTTGAAAACTTTGGTATGTCTGATGATGTATATAAGAAAATTTTCATCACGTATAAATAACATTGTTGAAACGTCTACGTTTTATGATGAATGCAGGTATATTGTGGGCGGATTTCTTTGCATATTATGTACTATGGATGATGATGATATACTTGACCGATGTTTGGAAGCTTGATTTCACACATGCTGCTGCAATTATCAATATATGGAGAGGCTCAGCTTTAGTATTGCCTCTTGTATTTGTCTATCTTGCCGAAGCTTTTCTTGGCAACTTTTGTATCGTACTCCTTACCAGTCTTTCCTACTCAGTTGTAAGTTTTTAGTTTCTTTCTTAGGCTTTGTTTAATTCAACTCTTTTGTCTAAAAAATATATTGTTTGAATATATTTTATTTGAATATATATCATTTAATCTAAACTCACTACAGGTAGACATGTTGATATATACGAAGTATAATTTAATGTATATGTTTCTTGTATTTTTATGTCTACTAACTTGAAGATATAGAAATTGAATCAAAAAGAGTTTAATACAAGTAATAATGTATAAAAATAAAAAATAAAAAAAACTCCGTATTAACTATTTTTGCACACATTAATGTAAAAAATTATGATTAAGTAATGAGATATTTGTCCTCATGTCCTAGTTAGCTACTTTTGAGTAAAACGTTAATCATACATCAATTCATAAAAAAAGGGAAATTCTCAATATTAGCCCGGTGTACTTTTTCCTTTTGTATTACCAATGATAAAAGGCAAAAATGCGAGGCTACCATTGAGATTTAAAGAGAGAAACGCGTGGTGATCATATAGTAATTCATTGATTCAATTGTAATGTAGGGACTTGGGCTGTTATGGATGTCAACCCCACCAGTGCTAGCAAAATCAAGCAATAATTGCGCAGAATACAAGCCTGAATGCATAGGAGAGCAACAAAAGCAACTATTCTACGCATCATTGGTCCTAATAGCAGCTGGAATTGCTGGTCACTTAGCCTCTCTAGGATCCTTCGTAAACGACCAAATGGAAAAAATGGCCACTGATTTCCTTTCAGGTGCACCAGGCTCTATGTGTTGTCCCATACTAGGCGGGTTCATGGGTGTGTTGATTCCGATTATCGGACTCATTGTTGTCTCCCTCGTCAAGTCATGGGGAGTTCAGTTTGGCGTGTGTGCCTTATTTGCGTTGGCCTCACTTGTTATTTTCTTGAGCGGCGTTTGCTCGTACAAGTATGTTGGACCAAGAGGAAGCCCCCTTACTACCGTCTTTCGTGTGTTCTTTGCTGCCTTCTCTAAGATCACTTGTAGTAGGCCACGAGATGAGAATGAGCTTTATGAGATACGTAGTAGTGATGTCGATGAAAATGTTGCTTTGATGCCTCATACCAAGGCTCTCAGGTATTGTGCTTTATCCTTACTCCATATTTATACCATGTTAAAGGACCAACTCAACCAAAAAAAGTTTATTATGTTATGCCGTGCAGGAATAACCATAACTAAGTGCATAGTTTTATTATTAAATGACTCGTAAAGTTATAATAAATGATCAATAAAAATAATGGATTTCGTACATGATTATACATACATAGTGTGTAACCCAAATTTGATTTAGCTTGAGACAATTTAAAATTAGGACATACAACCAGATCACAAATGATTATCAAAAGTTAATTATGTTATAATGATTAAACCACTAAATTGAACTTTGTACCTACATACTTCCTCTGTTCTTTTTTTACTTGACATGTTTCTTTTATCACGCTTGCCAATGCAAAGCTTTAACGATCAATAACTTAAATTCTCCATAAGTAAAAGTTATATATTATGATAGTAATTATTGAGAGGAATCCAAAAAGATCATACATTAATATATTTTTCCTTACATATTATTCACAAAAGACGGTCAAAATAGGGGTGGTGAATAGTGTAAAAGTCAAATCGGGTCAAGTAATAAAGAACGGAGGAAGTATTATACTATAATAGTACTTATTTGTCATAATCAATGTAATGTACAAGATTCTATTAATGTAGGTGCCTAGACAATGCTGCAATAATTCTACCACAACCAACTGTAGAGCAACAAGAACAACATAGATGGAAGCTTTGCAGGGTAACAGAAGTGGAGGCAACCAAGACCCTCGTACGCTCGATTCCCTTGTGGGTTACATTACTATTTTGCGGAGTAGTATCCGCCATTGGCGACACGTACTTCCTCGAACAGGCAACAACATTGAACCCGAAATTAGGGCGCATCAAAGTCCCTCTAGTCTTACTCTTGGGACTCTACGACCAAGCAAAGAGCGTCTTCTCTAAGTTCTTTGTTATGATAGCTACGGAAATTGTTGGGCGTAAACTATCACGCTTTCGCTATGTTTCTCCCGTAGGAGTTTCCGTGTCAATGGTGTTTTCGATACTATGCTGCATTGCTGCAGCAAAAGTCGAGGCAAGAAGGCTTGGAATTGTTAAAAGTCATGGATTAATTGATAAGCCAGATGAAAGAGTACCTATGAAAATATTTTGGCTTTTACCACAATTCGCGTTGCTTGGTGCCTTAGATGGGATTCGTGAATGGAGTGTTCCGAATTTAGTAGTTGCTCAAGCTCCTCGCTCTATGCTCGGGTTGTTTAACTTCATCAGCCTTAGTATATTCGGAACCGGGTATATGGGGAGTGCTGTTTCGGTTTATGTTGTTGGAAGGGTTAGCAAGAAGGTTAGTGGGATAAATTGGTTCCAAAGCACATTGAACAAGAGTCGTTTAGACAAGTATTATTGGGTATTAGCTGCACTTAGTGCAATAAATCTTGTTATCTATATTTTGGTGGTATGCTTTTATGGCTTTAAAGATTTAGGTGTTGAAGAGTTGGAAGAGCCAGAGTTTGAAGAGACTGAAGACAACATTTTCAACCACATGGAATGATCGATGTAGTGAATTAAATTAATTTCACATTCTATCATTTGATTTCTATGTAGTTTTTGTATTTCTTTAGAAATGACAATGGAATGAATCTTTGACTATCTATTATACCACGCTTAAAGAGTGTATATATGTAGGTGGATTTATAGTAAAAACTAAAAAGACTTGTAACATGAAAAGAATAGAAAAAAAAGTAATAGTACAACCAATGCTCTATTTTATTGTCTAAATTCATCCAATGATGATAAAATAAATTAGATCTAATTCATACAAAACCATCAAAAGCTTTTTAAATTTTTTTAAAGCAATAAACTCCCACTAATGAAGAGATGATCAAGTTTTTGCAATGAGATGGAGCGATTGTTAGTGGGCCACATAGTATGATTGGACTTAGAGAACAGGTTGATGATACAGTACAAAGCCCGCGTCACTTAAATTTGTATGGTAGAGTGGTAGATCGATATCAATAAGTAATACTGAAAGCAAAACTAATAATGACACATATCATTTTCTGATTTTAAATTTTTCCTAACCTTAAATATTAAACTCTATATCTTTCATGTAATCATTGATAATAAAATATAAAGTTCTACTAGTAAAAAAATCAAAATTGTATTAGTAAAATCTATAGTTGAAAAACAAGTCCACAAATCACAAAATCTCAATTAGTTTCCAAACAATGTGCCACCATTAAAGGACTAAACTCATAACTCGCTTAACATACGCGCCAACAACCGCGTACTCCCCAAGCCCCCTCGAATCCAAACCAGCATTCAACAATGGCGGCAAGAACAACCAAAACCCACTCCCCACCACAAACGCCGCCGTTAATCCGCCGGAAAACCACCTTGGTGGGACCCACCATTTTCTCTCTCTTCCATACTTTTTCACTGTAATCTCAACACAAAGACAAAATCCATGAATCAGAAAGAACCACGTGGCCTCAAAACTGGGACTCACGCGCCCAATATGATAGTATATTATCTCGTGCATTAACGCGGATACAATAAAAGTCGCCATCACAGCTGTAACTGTTGCAAAATCACGGCCGAGGATTCGGGTGAAGAGATTCCGTGTGGGTAGGTACACTGTAGGCCTAAGAATGCTGGTTACCATGAGATTCCATCTTTTGCCCCAAAAATCTTGGAGAGAAGTTGATAAAAGGGGTTCATTGAATTGAGGTTCAAAATCTAGATCTATGAAATATTTTGCTGATTTTGCAACTATTACGAAAAAAACTTCTAATGCAAAATAAATGTGGAGAAAATATAGTAGCCATAAGATTTTGGGATGAATTTGTGTTATTTGTTCACTATAATCATAAATTTTGATTATTAGAACTAAAAGAACAAATTTTGTGAAGTAATTCCATGGTGATTTTTCTTGAGATGGGTATGATTTATTTTGTGATTTTTGTGGATTTTGGGATTTTTGATGAGATGGGTATGATTTATTTTGTGATTTTTGATCTGGGTTTTTGTTATTTTCTTGTTTTAGTGAGTTTTTGGGAGGTTGAACTTTGATGGGTAAGCAAGAAACAGCTAGAAAAAGAGGATAAGAAATGGGAGGATCAAAAGAAAGTGGAGGTTTACCAAAAGCAAAAAGTAAGAGCTTAAAATTTGCAAGCCAAGCTATGAAAAATGAAGTTAATCCACACAAATGAAAAGAAGTAAGATTTAATGGTAATATTAGGAAAAGAATGATTACTGGGAGTATTGCTATTAATCTTGTAATGCCCTTTGGTGTAATCTTGCCTATAACATAACAATAGCTTAATGACACAAATATTGATAGCCATACCTTTCCAAAGTTTTTCAGCTCATCTTGTGCTAGTTCAATCATTGTTTCCCTCTCTTGTATCGATCGATACCGGATTGTTGTTGTTGTCGTCGTGGTATCGTGTTCTTTGATCGGATCTAGTCGATTGGATTCGAATCTACTTGAATGTTTTTGGAAGTGTGGATTTTTAATTGGCAAATTTTGTGCTAGTAATTTGTGGTTGATCTTGTACAGTAGAAGTTAGACTAGAGACTAAAGTTGTTAGGCCAAAGTGGGTAGAATGTGCTAGGAAATAGAATAGCAAATTAGCAACCACCTGTGTTTACGTGTGCTATAATACTCCCTCCGTTTTTAAATATTTGTTTCACTTTTCATTTGCGTCCGTTTTCAAGTATTTTCTATTCCTTATTTGAAAAGTTTTTACAATATTTAATTAATTTCTCACTCCAAGTAGACCCAACATATATTCTCTCTCCTCCAATTATCTCCGCTACTTTTGTCTTTTACATTTTTTTATTCTTTCACCAACCCCACTATCTTTATATTTTATTACTTTCTTCAATTTCTCTAAAACTCTGTGCATGGAGAAATAAAGTAAATATTTAAAAATAGAGGGAGTAGTATGGAGTATTTTATAATTGGAGGAAAGGCCAAATTTATCATGGCTTTCGTGGTTTGTTGAATTTATATTCCTTTTTAAAAGAAAATGGATGACAGACAAACAAACCATAAGAATGGTTTTTATGGTTGCCTTTTTGGTTTTCGGGTTTAATATAGAAATTTGTCTGCCAATAGTCGAACAAGAGAGTTAATGCTAGTGATTAATATTATTTGGGATGGGACCACATGATTACAAAAAAAATTATACAGTATTTTGATGTGCCTTTAAGAGTATTTTTTTTTTGTTCATTTAAATCCAAGAGAAAATTCAAGTTTCTTTTAGAGATAAATCTGTAAATATATCTTCTTTCAAAGTGTAATCTTTTTCTTTTATTTTTTATTATAAAGATTAGGAGGTGGTGTTTAGGATTAGGGGTGCCGGTTTTTGGGTGGGGGGAGGAGAGCGAGGGGGGTCGTTTCCGGTTGGGAAAAAGGGGGAAAAGGGGGATGGGTGGTGTCGGAGTGGGAGTAGGGGTAGCCTACAGCTGGGAGTAGGAAAGGGGAGGGGTGGGCAGCGTGGCTGGGGAAAGGGAGGGGGTAGGGGGCAGCCGAGAGTAGGAAAGGGGGGTTCTTCCTTCTTCTCTTTCGGTTTTCACTTCGCTTCTCTTAATCAATTGATTCTATTATTATTATTAGGGAAATTATCAATGATACCCTCGTTGTTTTGAGTTTTATCAATGATACCCTTCATTAAACTTTCATTACCAGCGGTACCCCTATAATTTTACCTTAATTGCTACAGTAATCATGACGTTAAACAAAAGTTAAGTTTGGTCATTTGACATGTTTAATGGGGTGGGGAATGTGAAAATACTTAAATGCCCCTATCATTTAATCTCCCTCCAAAAATCCCAAAAGTTTTCCCTCCTTTTATTTCTTTATTTCCATCTTTCCTATATAACCTTCACCCCCTCTTTTTGTTTTCATCCCTTTCTGATTTTTTAATTTCTATTTTAATATCTGAAAAGATTAAAAATTTAGCAAGCTAACATGATCATATGTAAATTGAGCATAATTCAGAGCTAAATCCAACAAACACTTGTAAATTGTACACAAAATCAAACAAATTCCACAAAGGTGCATACATTACCTTAAACCTAACAATTTTAACAAAATTCTCAAAATTCACTAGAGAAGTAAGAACTAATCTTTAGAATTGCAAAGAACCGCTAAATCTTCAAGGATCTTGCTTCACTCTAGCGTTAGTTAGGGTTACTCAGAAGAAGAAGAACAGGGGAGCAATTTCAAAGAAGATGAACGATAAAATTTGAAGTATTATGGTGTTGGTTGGGGTTGGGGGGTATTAATGAGTGGGGGGCATTTTTGTCAATCCAAGTCAGCCCATTAAACCTATCAAATGAACAAACTTAACGTTTGTTTAACGTCATGATTACTGCAGCAATTAAGGTAAAATTATAGGGGTACCGCTGATAATAAAAGTTTGATGAAGGGTATCATTGATAAAAGTCAAAACTACGAGGGTATCATTGATAATTTCCCTTATTATTATCATGGTTTTACAAAAATTATTATTGTGTTAAATTAAATAAAATCAGAAAATTATTCAAGTTTATGAAAAGAATTTTTATAAGGTTCATGTACATAAAATTGGGAGTTTTATATAATTGTTGTGAGTATCTGATGTTCTTATATTGATTATTAAAGTTATATTTAATTGTAAGGTGTTTTTGACAAGAATGCTCGAGGTTCTTTTGTGTGTGGCTAAACAATGATTCAAGATACCTTTGAAAGTGATTGTTTTGAATAGCATGTTTCATATGCTTTTTATTGATGATTGAATTATGATTTATGAAATAATACATATTATTTTCCTTGAATAATTGTCGAGTTAGGTTTCTTATATTATACATATTTAAAATGAAGTAAATTAAATTACATGCTTTTAAATGCATTCTTAAACAAATCTATAATCAATCATGAAAAAAAAAAAAAAAAAGGCACTACTACTAAGAATACAAAGCTTAATCCATACTCCGAACAAAAAAACATACATCATAAGGTTTTTTTTGTAAAAGAAACATACATGATAGTTTTTGTTATACTTATTTCAAATAAAAAGATCATAAAATCTTAATGATATTCAGACGAGTCTTGCACTTAGCTTTTAAAGGGTTAGATTTCCACATAGAGATTCCAACAGTTTCTTGCATATCAACTTGTTGTTCATCAATTCTTTCCCATTCAAAACATTGTATCAACGTCCCTAATGTTAATCCAATTATCCGCATTGCCAAATTCTCCCCTGGACAAGCCCTTCTTCCTGATCCGAAAGGTATATACTCGTATTTGATCTTATCGCCTTTAACATTATTCTCAAACCTTTCAGGCTTGAATTTTCTTGGATCATTCCAAATATTAGGATCATTTTGTATAGCCCATATGTTCAAGGTAAGGAGAGTGCCTCGTGGAACATGGGGGTGCCCCAGGCAATCAGCATGATTGGCAAAATTTGTCAATCAGTTGCTTTTGTGGGCCCCTCTTGCCAGACAAATTGACGGAGATTTATAAGACGTTAACTTTCAGTCTTATTTTTTGTACAATTTCTTTTTTTTTTTTTTTTTTTTTTTTTTTGTTTTTTTAACCCATCTTCTCCGAATTTCCATCAGCAGCACCACCATAGCCACCATCTGGTCCACCACCATCACATATACTACCATCACATTGACTACTCAATTAATATATTTCTTCTATAAAGTGTAGTCTGATGATTGAGGTTCAGAAATATATTAGGGACCAATTTAACTAAAAGTTTAGCCTGGTGATTGAGGTTCGAAAATATGTTTTATACTCAATTAATATATTTCTTTTATAAAGGTAATGAGTTTTACTAAACTGAAACTATTTTTATTGAACTAAACTTATTTTTACGGAACTAAAATTATCTTTGTTGAACTAAAATTATTTTTTTACAGAATATTATTTATTTAAGGTGAAGTAAACAGGGCGTAAGAACTAATTTACCTGGACAAGACCTTTGATTATGTCATCATTAAAAAATGAAGGATCTGAGTTTTGTAAGTTAATCAAAACCTCAATCAAAGTTTTGTTTTTCCCACCACAATCAATCACTACTCCTTGACATCTTTTTTCATCCACCAAATCTTGTAAAAACTTGTCAAGTTCCAAGAAAAGAGCCTTATACTTTTTCTCCTTACTAATATAATGGATCCCCAAATACTTCAAAAATGGGAAGAAATCCACAACACTTGTTGGTGCACCTATTTCTATCAACTCCTTAACAACCTCTTGAAATCTCTTTGCTTCACTAGACACCTCCGCCTCGCCGTAGATCCTCTTCCCGGCAACCATCCTCATCATGGCATTATTCGTAAGCTCGAAAAGCGCCTTTTTAACCTCCACCACCACCATTTCATCGCCACCCTTTTGACTTATAATTCTCTTGACTAGTGATCTCACTTCATCAGCTCGTATGTTAGCCAGTAAATGAAGGCGATGAGAAGACAAAATCTCGGTCGCAGCAATCTTACGGTGGTTACGCCATAGAGGGTCATACGGGGCCCACGACATGGTGGTGAAGTCATATCCTAGGATCTTGCCTGCCACGAGGCGGGGTCTGTTGGCGAAGCAGATGTCGTTGTGGAGAAGACAGTCCTCTACGGCGGAGGGGGAGGAGACGAGGAGGGCGCGGCGAGAACCGAACTGAAGGGTGATCACTGGACCGAGTTTTTGAGAGAGACTTGAAAAGGTGCGGTGAATGGAGTTGTGGTCTTTGACAAGGTGGAGATGGCCTAAGATGGGTAAAGTAGGGAAAGGGCTCGGTGGGTAGTTTTTCAATTTATGTAACAAAGTTTTAGTAGTTATATGGGACTACTACAAATATTGCTAAGTAGAGTTATGATCCATTTTGGTTTTTGTATCTTAAAAAAGCCTTTTTTTTTTTTTTTTTTTTTTTTTTTGAGGAAACCTAGAAACTAGTGTAAGTATGCTGTGTGCATATATATATATAGCCGCAAAAGAAAAAAAAAATCTCATGACTATAGCCAGTTGGGAGTCCACTAAGGAGAAAAAATAGTACTCCGTAAAATAAATAAAGCAAGTAATAAAATAAAGGCACAATAGAAAAGTAGAATGTAGTAAATGTAAATATCTCTAATTGCGTATTCTAGTAAAATTATGAAATTTTGATATTCAGAAAATAGACATTTATAAATTTAACAAAATTCCACATGGCTATGTATTTATCCAACACTAAATCACAAAACGAAATCAAAGTGAGTTATGTGAATATTACATAAAGTCAAAACGTGTCAACTTACAGAAAATGAAGCTACTATTTTATTGTATGTCTTTTTCACCCATGATCTATTCATCTATTGCACTTTTTTTTTTTTTTTTTCTCTTTTGTTTTGTCTTTTTTAGTTTTCAAAACATAGTTAAAATATAATACTATCTCCATTGATTTTTAATTGTAACAAAAAAATATTATTTGTGAGACATAAAAAAAAATCTTTTATTGAATTTAAAATTTTACAGAGGGACAAATAATAAAAATGGACACCGATAAACATGAACGATGTAAAAGAGCTTTAAAATCTCGATTCACGCTTCTTTTTTTCTTCATCATTGCACTCCTTTTTTATTAGAAGGTGCACGGGCCAAAAGCTTTAATTCTAGGATGAGCAAGAGCAACACAAAATCAACTCTTCCTGCTCATACAGTTGTATGAAGATTAAAAAAAAAACCTACATACAAAATCGTTCGAGAGCCTACATACAACTTCTTTCCTTGTAAAATGTTGCAGCTACCATTTTTCAATTTCTGAACGTATATTTCGTAGATACGGAACTAGTTGATGGGAAGTATATCATCATACTCTGTACAACCAGAATAAACACCAAATTTGATGGCAACATTTCCAAGTTTGACCGATGATGACTCTGTTGTTAAGCATGAGAACTAAATCACTAATGGTGACATTTTAAACTGAGCCAGACAGGAAAAAGAAAAACAAAAACCAGGCTTTCAATGTTGCTGCTGTAGCTCATACACCTGAATGTATGCCTCTGAAAGAGCAACCATCTGAGGTAGTGTTTCTGATACATGCAAGTCCTGCACCTCATACCTGGGGTATTCACATATCCAAAAAGGCACTGAAGTGAGCCAGAAAGCATGAGACTATACAGAAAGCACGAGACTATTTTAAACTGCACAATTGATGAAAGGAAAATAAAAAATACAACAAAATACTATGGAGTAAACAAGAAACAAGGTAGAAAGGTCGAATACTGGAGGATTAACATACTCCATCGAACTAGACTCTCAGTCCCTTTTACAGGTTAAATAGTGCAAACAATAAGAGACGGAGGGAGTATAAGTTAGGGTCCAACAAGTAAAGAAAACACACCCTAAATAGAACATCTTCAAAAAAAAAAAAATTGAGTGCATAATTTTTATTTGGACACTGCTTGCCCCCACCCACCCACCCACTCCAAAGCAAACACGATTTGGAAGGTTGATGCTTGGACTTTGCTAATATCAGTGTCTATATCATCACTTCATTTGGAGTACAAGTTAGGGTCCTACGAGTAAAGAAAACACAACCTAAATAGAAAATCTTTAAAATATATTTGAGTGCAAAATTTTTATTTGGACAATAATTGCCTCCCAACCCCCCCCCCCCCCTCCCTCCTAAATAGAACATCTTCAAAAAAAATTGAGTGCATAATTTTTATTTGGACACTGCTTGCCCCCACCCACTCAAAAGCAAACACGATTTGGAAGGTTGATGCTTGGACTTTGCTAATATCAGTGTCTATATCATCACTTCATTTGGAGTATAAGTTAGGGTCCAACGAGTAAAGAAAACACAACCTAAATAGAAAATCTTTAAAATATATTTGAGTTCAGAATTTTTATTTGGACAATAATTGCCCCCCCCCCCCAACCCGCCCAAAAGCAAACACGATTTGGAAGGTTGTCTATAACATTACTTCATTTCCTTGTCAAAGGGGAAAAAATATTCACTATTGGAAGATAAACAAATAAAAAAAGACACAATCTTTGAAGTAATTTGGCGGCCAAAGAAAAAAGCAAACACGTTTTTTGTGAGGTTGGGTTTAGGGTTATACTTATACATACTCAACCAATAAAGTTATTAATAATATAATCCGTATATACTAAACATCAACAATAACACGTGTCATCTCCTGGTGTATCCTCAAATTATTTATTTTTGGTTGAATAAAATTCTATTAAAAAACAGATCTTATGTACAAAATAATTCTCTAACCTTATACAATATAATTACTTAAAATAAAAAAGATTTGACATATCTTTAACACTAATATCTGTCTAACAGACTCTTTGGTTATATTTTATGTTTCATTTCATTAAATACGCAACATATAAACTTGTTTCAAGAAGATAATGGTGAATTCTTAAACCTATGCCTTGTGAGAGATTAAGACAATGTGTTAATTATGTCCAATACAATGCCACTTAACAACTATAAACTTGTCCTAATATAGCAAAAGCATGTATAAGTAAAGACTAAAGAGGCACCACGCTAATTCATATAAATTACCATTGTTCCTCTGACTTCCTTTGAACAAAGACTCTGTATGACCCTTCACTGGGCTTGCCATCATGAACAATATTTGCAATTAAATCGTATTTTGAACGCAATTTCTCATCATCGTTTGGTGTGGGCAGAGGGATATAATCCTTCAGCTCGAGGTTCTTCACAGGAAAATTAACTGCAACGAAACATTTAAGCAGTAAGATTAGGGTAATGACTACTGACTTAGTGAGTCATATACATATCACACTGCAAATGGGCACGGGCATCAAAAACCTTATTAACATGCTGATGTAGGCTCTGTACTCAATTATTTTTACACTCATTATGTCTAATAAGTTCAATTAAGATAAGGGCTAATAAAGTAAAACTCAGGTAAAGAAATCAGTCCCGTAATCTGATCACTATAAATCCATAGTAGATTTCTAGTAGCTAAATATGGTCAACATACCATTCAGATAAATAAAATAAAAAAATAAAAAAGCAAGTGCACTTTGCCAAGCAGACTGACCAAGAGACAGAATAAAGTAAATTTGTTTTTAATCAACCAACATAAAGCAGAAGCATAAGGTTAACAAAATACTGCTTCAGTTGAACACAAGGTAAGTTGAAGCAGCACAAAATGGACAATGAAGAAATTACCAAAACCCACCTTGTAATGACAACTAGTCCTATCATGCACTGATGCACACAAAAATTATGACACGAAGCACGATACTTACCAAGGGTGGGATTCTTCTCAACAAAAAAGTTGTTTTTCGTAAATCGCCGCATGTGCATAATGATGTAAGGTGGCAATTTGGTTACACGATATCTCATCCTAGCTATTTGAGGACGCACAACTTCTGTTATGGTCTCACCATCAAACTTCTTCAATATGTTGAAAAGTGGAACCTAAGAAGAGCATGTATAAGCCAAGTCCATCAAATTACCAAGAAAATAAAGAAGATTAAAAAAAAAAAATTAACATCGATGGTGAAGCCAGAAGACATGCATGCTGGATGCTGAACTAGAAAACAAGCAACCCCCCCCCCCCCCCAAACAAAAAAAAAATATGAAACACGCGCTCAAAATCTTTGTACAGATTTTTCAATGTTACATTTTTTAAAAATCAAGATATAAATATTGACGAGTACATTCAGATTATCTGTAAATTGTGATCTGTGCTTAAATACAATTCAGTAATGAGGATATAGCCAGCTTCACAGGAAAGCATAGCTGCTTCAACTGCTACCAAAACCTTAATTCTCTATAACCAGAAACCATATTCAAATGCTAAGAGGTGTGACTATTGCAGAGACATCTAACCAGAAAATTCTCTACCAGAAACCTCAGGGCCTCAGGGGGGTGTTTGGCATTGTTGTAGGTTTGTTGTTTTCCATTTTTTTTCCTCTATAACAGAAAATGAAGCCAAAAGTGGAAAAGAGAAAAAAATTTACAAGTGGTTTAAGGGAATGTGTTTTGTTTCACAATTTCACTAAACACATTTCTTCATCTCTATCATCTGTAATCTTGACTCCTCTGCGTCCTCTCCTTTTCTCTCTAATCTGTATTATGATTCTTCTCTATCTGCCTCTCGTTATCGTCTCTTGGCATTGGTAGAGGACTAAAGGTGACTCACCGGCAAAACTGCCAAAGGGCTAAAAGCCCTTCGAATTCAACCAAGACTCCAGATTTTGTCACCAGCAAGCAAAAGGATTAACAGAAAAGGAAAAGTCATTGGAAAACAAATGTATTCTTCATTGCCTTACATCAAATGTTTTCTCTCTTTTGTAGCTGCTGCTATAACAGATTAACAGCCCCAGAAGAATCAAAGGACACAATCTAAGGAATACATAAGAAAATTGGCAGAGACTAGTAACATTTTATACAGGCAAGTAATGGCATTGATGCAACATCGTACCTCCATAATGAGGTTCCTTTTTCAGCTAACAGCAAGAAATGATGTATGGCTACTTAAACACTTTTAAGGAAAGCAATGTCCTTATGATATGAATGGTTTCTACACAACAATGCGAAACAATTGAAACTACAGGTCCTAACATACTATGTTCAGAGGCAGGCAAATATTTGAAATTATACTCATTGCAACATGCAGATACCATTCACTCCCGGTTTCCCAAAACCTAAATACAGCTGCAGTACCTTAAGTGTGAATAAAATGATAAACTCAGAGTACAAAAACACTCAGCAATCTGAAAATGAAAGAGCAACCAAATATCAAGTACCTGAGGGATAATATTTTTCTCCATAACATCTTTAAAAAGAGGCGGAGGTGGCAAATCAAGGCTAAGCATTAGAAATGGCATTTTGGAAGTTTCTCTGACAACATTAGGGTTTTCAGATCCACCATTTTGATCATCGCCACCTTCTCTTCTCTCAGTACCTTTACTCTGCATTTCTTTCACAACTTCCAGTTCTCCCTGCAGTGCTAATCAATTTCAATGAGACACAAATACTTACATGTAACGATACCAAATATTTACATAGATGGAGACATTACCTGGAAGCACTGATGGATGATACTTGTGTTTTTCTTTGAGCTTTTTTTGAGATCTTTGTGGAGGGTGTTAAGGAGCCAAGTCACAAAATCAAGTGGGTCAGATTGTGCACCTATTCGAAACTTTTTGTTACTTGCTTTCATCACAGCTTGCAAAAATTCATGGGGACTCACCTGTAATGATTAAATCAAATTTAACACTATATAGACTGGTGAAATATTTAAATTTGCAACTGAAGTCAAACATAACCATGTTTATACCTGTCCCTTGAAATTTCTTGCATGCCAGATTTTACGAGTAAGCTCCCCAAAACGATGAACCAGGGGAGATCTAGAGTGCTGGTAGTTCTCTGGAATCAGGAAGAAGTTCCTCAAGGGCGTAACACGCATAAGCGCTTGAATTGTAACATTAACAAAATCGGTTTCCTTGATGTTATTGAGTCCTACCTGAAAACAGAATAATTTCAAATGGTCATCCAATCTGCTGTAAAGCAGCACGACGAATTATAATATTTCCACTTAGATGAAGAACAAGGCAAAGGTTTTTTTAGTAAGTCACGGAAGCGTACCAATCCAGGCAGGTAATCAGAGCCATCAAGAGCTCTTGCCCACAGCTTGCTTCTATCTAGCTGTTCAACTTGTTCCCTGGCAAACCTGAATACCAGAAAGATCAGCCAAAATGTTGTTATCTTCTTTACATCACACCTTTGAGGTAAGCTTAACTCTAAAAATTAAAGACATGAAACCATAACAGGTAGCAGCATAAAGGTTTAAGCATACAGCATATATTGATGTAAATATATGCATAGAAGGAAAAAATGGAAACAAACCTGGGGTTTAGAACATGACGGATGTCGTCTAAAGATGGATCATTAATCTCATATCCATCAGGTAGGCAAAAAACCTTCTCAGTCTTCAAATTTATGAAGATATGATGTCCTGCCTCCAGGCTATGAGTATATGCATGAGACTTGGGGCCTCTTCCTTGGTAATACTTACCACACACCAGACATGCATATACATTCAAGTTCGTTAACGAGATTGAGCAAAATTTTTCAAAATCAAAATCTAAAGCCTGCAAGGAAGCAATGCACTAAATCAGAATCCCATATAATAATGATTAACCGAAAAGTACTTTAAATTAAAATATCAAAAATTAATTTCCGATTTTCTTTAGTGTTAAAATAGGTTTACAGACTACATATCTATAAATGATCACAATAACTCAACACAAACTGTTTGACGAACAGATGTTTTTACATCATCCAGTGAACAACCCCAACAGATGAAGGTATAAAACTATAACTAAGTTCTTTAAAAGGTTCGCACCAAAGAGCTAGCTCCCTCTTCCACTATCAATAATTCAGCAGCACAAATTCCAGCATTTAAAACCATTCTACTCCGTCTGTCAATGATTATCACATCGTTTGAACTCCTCATGATTAAAAAATATGACACAATATCAATAAAAGACCCTTTATAATAGTTGGCCATTCTCACACTCTGAACATCTTTGTACTTACGAAAGGTTAAGTAAGTGAATCCAATAGTAAGTTTCGGAAAAACTTTTGACCGACATCCCAAATTAGTAAACGTGAGTAATGTAAATCTGGGGAATTCTTATAGATGGAGAGTACATGTTTATATATTACACAGCCATCCTAACATCAAAATTCTACACAAATTTTGACCCATTTTAAAGCACACTTGTTGGAGAAGTTTACACAACACTAGAGATTTAACAAAGAAGAACACCCAGTGTCTCCCAAGACCAACCTGATATCTATCCCATTACCAAGGGTGGATCTCCAAATCAAACCCTCCCTACCCAAACTTATGTATGCTCATCATTATCCTACGGAAGCATCTAAATCCAAAAAGAGGCCATTTTTCCAAATTCGCTCCGCCTTCTAATTCAGCATGCAATTACAATTTTACAAGTAATCAATTCCCAATACCTCAATCAAGAATCATTCTAACCACATTATAACTCCTTACTACAGATTCCAATAAACAGCAACAGTATCAAATACAAAAAGCTTCAAAAATATATCAAACAAACAATGAACAAAAACTTGTATCAAATTCAAGTAATAGAGTACCTGTCTGTTAACAGTATCAAGGTAAGGGCAATCCCTCCTGACCTCAACGGCCCGATTGCGCTTGGCTTGATGAAAACCTAAATCCTCCTCATCTTCATCATCCTCAACATCATCAGCAACAACCCCATTCACACCACCATTAACCCCTGCTTCCTCCTTGCCATTCCCCTCACCGGCACGCCTTCGAATCGCATCCCTCCTCCTCTCCTCTTCTTCCTCATCATCATCATCGTATGAAGCTAATGGAAGAAGTGGGTTCTCGAAAGCATGAGTTTTTGGCGACCCCGCCTCGTCTTCTTCCATCTTCTGCCTCTTTACCTCACTATCCTTCACCTCTTCTCTTTCTCTCTTACTTCCCATTGTTAATTCTCAATACTGGGTTCTCAAATCAACGATAATTTGGGTAATCTTCAAACCTAAATGTGCAATTTATACACCCAAAATTAGCTTCTTAGAACCCTAATTTTCCACAACAGAAGAAAACAAAACAAAACAAAAATATTGAATAAACCCAGAAAATTTCAGCTAAAGATAAACAAATTATCAAATTAAAGTTCCAGAAAGAAAAGCGTTTAACAGTTAATCAACAGGATCTTTATATAAAAATACAAAAATTATTGGAAATTACAGAAAATACTTCAAATGAGGGCAAAATTAAAAAATTATACTCATAATGTTACTAGAGCTTTGAAATTCTGGAAAATACCTTTGAAATTGAGAGGAAGTTTTCGATTGAACTTTGATTTGGATTCCAATACACGAAGAATTTAGACTGACCGAATAAAACTTGAAGGTCACCCAAATACGAAGTAGAAGATAATAGCCCAAAAATAATGAAATTTGGATTGCTAATTATAGTTATCCAATCTCCTTTAACCCAAATTATGTTTTTGGCTATGGTCCAATCCATAGGGTCATAACCCAAGGGTTTATAGTGCTCTTAAGCCTCGAAAAGACGGTCCATAGACCATAGTCCATAAAAGATTAATCGGAAAAGGCAGTCAATCGTGAAATAAAAAATGTTTGTGGTTGAAAGGATTTTAATTGTTTGATTGTGCGAGTTTAATCTATGATTAAAAAATATTCAATATCTGATGTAATCGAGACATGAATAAATTAATTAAACTATGTACTACCTCCGTTACATATTATTTGCAACGATTTGACATAAAGTAGAGAGGAAAAATGTCTAATCGTTGCAAATAATATGAAACGGAGGTAGTATATGATTTGCTACTAAGAATATCATTTAAATTAGCAATAGTATCTAAGTCGAGTTGTTATTTCTCTTGGCTGCCTTATGAAATAGAGTAACGAGGTAAGTAATTTTTGCTATTTGATCTCCTAATCAAATTTGTCAGAGAAGAAGTAAATTCTTGATGATTCACGATTTAATATTTTTGTCTCTTTTCTCTATTGGATCCTTTTAGATAATGTATATTACAAGAAGCTTCATAGATCGAATGATTTTTTTTTACCATAGTTCCATCTTACTTCATGCATTCTTACAATTATCTCTAAGTTATCGACCCTTATATAGGTAGTAAATTTTCTTAGTTCCTTTTCAAAGATAAATTAGTATACAGTTTTCTGAGAAGACGTTCTTTATTTTCTACGTGTATCTTACCTTTTCAAAAAAAAAAAAAAAATCCAATTAATATTTAAATTCAAATAATGGTAGAATACACTATACGAATAAAGTATAGGATTCCTCAATCAGATTATATATGGTTAAAGAAAACCTCATAACGTCCCATAATAACATACTTCATACTTCAGAAAATGGACTTTTGATCCACACAATGTGTTACACACTTACACCTATTACTCTTGGTCCCTTTCACTACAATATGCCATGCCCATTATAGAAAGTGACTTCTACATGTGGAATATGGAGAGCAATTCCTACATGCCAAAGCTTATACTGTGCTTGTTAGAATAATGCATAGGATTCCATGACATTATTAGAATAGGGCACCCTTTTGAAAAATGTTTGGAAGACATGTTAGTTATAACGACCAACAGCAAAAAGAGGCACCAATGATAAGCAACAAGAAATAGACAAACATAAGAAAAGAATGCTTCTGAAAAGAAAAGTTAGCATAAGTGCACATTTGCTGAATTGCTTTAAGTAGCTTATATAACAGCCCTTGGTACAAACATAGTAATGCAATGCTAATGCTCAAACAATTCTGAGGCTGATAACTTTAAGTAGACTAGAAATATCATACATGGATCAGAATTGCAGGAATCCGGGATTGTTCAGACTGCATAGAAGGGTAGTTTCGAGTTAAAATATGTAAGACGAAACTTTTCAGACCTTCTAACGATTTACTAAGAGTTTCTCAACATATAGTTATTAAAAATGCTCCCAAAACAACAGAAATGTCATATTGACAGTTTAACTAACAACTTCAACACAATGTGAACCTTTACACTGTAAGTTCCACACATGGAGACATTGCTGAAGAAAAAAGAAATTAAAAGTGGAGCAAAGTCTAGGTCAAGTGATCAGGAAAGGTTGTTGATTTAAAGCTGCCTTTTAGTTGATTTCTTCTTTCCAACTGCTTGAGTAACATACTCGTAAGATTTGAAGATCGCCAACCAGCAAGAACCAATGGGAAGTGTCACCGCGAAACATAGATGTTTAGCTCAGGGTTTTACCAATCCTTTCGGATATCAAATGTGTAGTTGATCTCCAAATAGCATTTGTTGTCATCATCAACAAACTGTCAAGAAAATGAAATAAAATATTTAAATGGTCATAACCTCATGCTCAAGATTTTTTGATCAAGTGCAAGATCAGTATGGTATGGCATTTTTGAAATTTGAAATGAAAACATAAGAGTAACTACAATAATTGACAACTATGACACTTTTGCATGCTATTGAAGAAAATGTCAGCCAAAACTGAATTCCATGGTCCGTCAGTTTAATACAGGTTCCAGGTTGCAGATGTGGTCTGACAAAAAAGAATAGCAACTGCATATTTGAATTAATACATGAATTCAATTGTTTCACAACATTTTTTTGGCCTAATATAAGATATGCAATTAGGTATGATGTACCCATAACCTGATTGTGACAAAAAATGACCATTACTCCCTATCTTACCCTCACAAAAAAGACGGAAGGAAATTTCCATTTAGGTTGATGACTGGAAATGAATTACCAAGGCGTTTCCATGAACGAGGCAACATCAAATTGGCCAAATCATGTATACCCTCCGTTCCAAAGCTATGTTAACGTTGCTTGAGGGCACTTAGGTTAAGGCTAGTAAAAAGATTCAAAGAAAAGTTGATGGATAGATATAAGTAGTAATTGTTTACTGATTAGCTGGTAAAGTTTCTAATGGTCACTCGAGAGAGTCAAGACATTGGGGATCCTTTCTACTTCATAGACTTCTATGCTATTTATCATGGATTCATGGTAAAGATTTTGGCTTAAAATGAATCTAATAACCAAGTTTAAATATTGTATTATGTATTTAACCAAGTACAATCACTGTCACATTGGCCATCCTCTAATCTCTAACCAACTCAGCCTACTGATGATTCTACAATACTCGTATTAAGTAATGTAGTTAAATAACAGCCTAAGAGGTGGATGTTTGATACTCACCCTTGTCCTAGCTGTATATGATCCTCTAGCAAAAATTCCTGATGGGGTGGTCTCCTCTGGCATTTCATGCTTATATGGTTCTGCTTGAGGGCTAAATGTTCCGAGCATTTCTTTCGTGCTATCAACTGTTGAAAAATAGCACAGTTTCAGGTAAAAAGGACCAAAGAATCCAGTTCATCCACTAAAAATACCAACAAGTTAATGTATCTACCTTTAACTCCAGTTTTCCAAACAGCATTGGTGTACTTGAGGCCTGAAACTATGTTATGGTTGACCTGAAAAGCAAACTGGAGGCTGTAGCGGCTACCTTCTTTCAATGTAAACCAGTTGCCCTTCACCTTTCCATTTTCTGGAATCTGAAGCAAAATATCATCTCTACCAGGAGATTTTATCGCGAGGCTCAAAATTTTTACCTCTGGGTCAAGAGTTTCTGCATTATTAAATGATCCTCAAGAAATCAGATGGAGCAGTATGTAAGAAAAACAGCCAGTTTCTACTAAAGAAAAATAGTAAACTTCCAACTACATATTCCCTTTTCTTTTGACATGGAAAGAAAACCTAACTCGTCCTTATGGATTATACTGAAAAAAAAACAGATTATTAGGCTTAAAGTACGCGGAAATATAGTACATCGTACTCCTATAAAGGCTACAGCTACAAAATCAGCAATATAAAAATGATGATTATAACTAAAGGCAGAGCTTACAACCAAAAAACTAATTAAGCAGCTTATTTTCAACAGAGTTATTGTTGTACAACGTATTCTCCAACATAATTTACCTTAAATCAATTTTATGGAACTATTCTCACATTGAAATTGTATCAATGTATATGTTCAAGTTTCAACATAAATGAACTCTAGTAGGTGTTCATGATTTAGATAGACCTAGGTTCTACAACTCTTTAGGATTTTGAAGGTTCCAAAGATCATGACTCATGAGCATGTGCAATTACCCTAGTAATGAGATATACAAGGGAATAATGAAGAATTCGAGTAACGTAGGGGAAGAACATGATTGCGAGTGGCAAAATGTGAAAAAGTTGAATCAACAAATTATCATACATAGATCCCAAACTAAAGTTTTTTTTGTATATAATTAACTAAGGTTTAACTATAATATAACAATCTAGAAACTCATATAGTCATATATGAAACACACATATAAAAGGTAAAATCATTACCTCCAATTGCATTAATGTCCACACTGCCAAGAAGTTGCTCCTTCCATTTCCTCAAACTTTCATCATCCTAAAGCCATGAGCACAAGACAGATACAAAATAAGCACACAAACAATAAAACTTTGTTGCTACTACCTCCGTCAGAATTAATTGTCGTGATACGAGTTTAGATTACACTATCAACGTGACAACTAATTCCGACGGGCCTTAGGAAAGACTAAACAGAAAACAGGAAAAACCTTGTCTTTCTCCAACTGGTCTTTCAATGAGCATTGTGGACCCAAATTAATCTTACTCTCTGCATCATCATCATCTTCATCATCCTCAATAGTAAGAACAGAATCTTCACTTGATTTCCTAGTTAGTTTCTCCTTGTTAGGCTCATTAACACTAACACCCTCTTCCTTTTCTTTGACATTCAGAACATCAGTTGAATCACCAGAAATTTCTTGCTTATTTTCATCAAAACCCATGATTTTAGAGTTTCCAAACCACCAAATTCTCAGAAAAGCAGATTTAAATACAAGAGAAAACCTTTAAAGAAAAAGAAACAAACTTTTTTGAATTTTAAGGCTTCCCCAACCAACCCCTACAATTGAAAGGAACCCAATAAAATGAAGGGTATGTGTGACAAATAAGGGAGCAAAAAAATCACCAAATCTAAATCAAAGTAAATACTTTTTAAACATATTTTACTTGGGTTTTTAATGGTAATATTAAATAAACACACAAAGAGTGTGACCAAGGTCAAAGAATCCTAGAAAAAGATGCAGCAAATTGCAAAATAACAAAAATGGAGAAAAACCCAAGAAGGATAAGCCTAGGGGAAAGTAGAGACACCAAGAAAGGAATGAAAACAGAGGAGAGAGAAAGTTAGAAAGTGCAAAAAAGGTTGGAATTAGTCATGTGGTGATCCGAAATTCAGGAATAAATATGAGAGAAGATAGTGCAGGAGAAGATCATGCAGGCCACTTTTAAAGCAGGACAATTTCTTTTTTTTTAAATCTTAACTACTCTATTCACTTTACATGTTACTCCTAATCTTCAATTCTTCTAATTAGATTTATGATCAAATCTTCAAGGTTTCCAATTTTAATGTACTATGTGATGTAATCTTTTCCTAATTCGAAAAATTTAAAACGCTCTAAGATAGTGAGATATGTCGAACATATAAAGGTATGATTTTTACTAATATCGGAGATCAACTTATCATTGCTCCTTATAATCAACAGTCTAACAATATTGTTATAAAGATTGCCTAGAATAAAGGTTAAATTAAGAGGAATAATTTAACTCTGAACTAGTTTTATTTTGGTGCTTCGTGTTAGATGACTAAACACACATTTTGTATACACAGTCATTCTCAATTTCGGGTCGATTTCTTATGCTTAGACTATTATTGTGTATTTATTATTACGAAATATGAAATGGTCAATCTGATTACACCCCATCTTATCTTATACAAGAATTTGTAGTTCTGTTGTTGCAGCTCATTAAGCTTAATGGTTGACTTAATAATTTGCAATGATTAATAACAAGATAACCGGAGGTAGGTGGCATATCCCCTCAAGTAAGGGGTATGTACGGCAAACAAGCCTTTATTCCCCCATGAACAATTAAGAGAACCCCACAGACCTAATCAATGCACAACTAACTACATACAGATCATTATGATGATTTGTGAAAGGAAAATAGAAGTATAACTACATACTTTTTTATTTCTCTTGTTGTACCTAAAAGGAAATACAATCTTATATCAATCACGACTCTCTATCCTGATACGAAAAAAAAAAACTTGGTCTACACACTAGTTAGATTAACATTCTCACAAGAGCGTGCCAAAATTAAATTTTAGAGTAGGAAAATCAGTTCTTATGACTCAAGCATAATGAATACATAGAATATATCTCAAACAATTTGGCATTAGACCAAAAATGCCATGCATATATGCAATACAGACACTTCATGCCAAGCAAGATTACGCACCGAAATGGCTCTAGACATCTACTTGCTCTCCCATTGAAAGTTAGAATTGTTAATCAGATCCCCATTTCTTCGTAATTCTTTCTTTAGCACTACTTTGGGCTGCCTCCAGTTTCATTTCTTCAAACTGTGCATCATTGCCCGTAAATGATCTTCCAGTTATCATTGATGTAACGTAAGTGAAGCCGTTTTTTGTACTTCGCAAGGCAAACAGAAGGGGATTGATGATTACAGCCAGCAGCAGGTCTCCTTTGGCAGCTACAAGGTACTGTACAATGCAGTCCACAAAGGTGGAAAAACATAAGAAAGGAAGAACACGAGGAGAGATGGTTGAACTGTACTCAAGGAAAAATAAATTTTTATACCAAAACAAGAAGACCCAATATAGCAAGACAAGCTTGTTGTGCTTCTTGCCAAAAGTTATCATCATTAGACCAGCCAAATCGCCCACCCCAACCAAACCACCCTCCACCACCAGCATCACCTCCTCCTCCGCCAACTTCTTCTCTCTTCTTAATTTCTTGGTCCCATTTTTCAAATTTCTCCTTGTTTCCACCAAGTGCACTTTCTAATGCTTTCCTAGCTTGCTCCTGCAAAAAGCCAAGTCAATGCTATTAGATTGCCTGCATACGCAATCACAAATATTCAAAAGATGCAGGGTATGGCACTAAGATCTTGATAGGCATAAAAATGCAAAATTTGATAGAAGCAATATATACTGCAGGGAGAGATTGGATCCTCCAAGGGCATATGCCGAAGGATGTTTTGCCATGAAAGGACAGTACTCTACTGTAAGATCACCCTAGAAAGTTCCATACTACAGATAACTAGAAGTTTTCTTTATGTAGCTTTGATACGAAAATAGAATACATTATCAGCGGAAAAAACAAGTACACATAAAGGAGGGAAGCCATCATCTAATCAGGAAACTAAATAACAAATTATGCCCATTTTTTTAACCTATCCAATCGGACAACTCACAACCTTAGCCCATGGTGATTTTGGATAAGCTTATTAGTATACTTCTCATATGTAGAGAAAATGAGCTCAAGCAACAACAATGAGATCAACTAACTGCTACTTTGTACGTAGATAGCAGTATATCTTATACACGTATATACACAAGTAATACGAAGAAGTAGACAGCCCATAGCGGAGTGTCAAAAACTACAAATAAAAAGAACATGAACAAGCTGAACATATAAATATATAATCATGATGAATCAATGTTGAGACGCATGCCTGAGAATTCTGAAACAAGTCACTTTTAGAAAGCCTCCATATATTTACTATAATTCATTCTGAAAAGGTTTGTTCCTTAGAAGTTACCAAGCAACATATCAAATCTTAATTGAGGGTCAATTCTAACAATAACAAATAATTCTTGATGCTGCTTGTTGCAATTGCGATTCAACCCAATATGGGCAACACCTAATGTAGGTTAGAGCCCTGGAGGAAATTTGGGGCAATGTTTCCGTGTGAAATACACTTTGACACTGCCTTAAATTTATTATGGATAGTAAGAAAATTAACTACTGTCGCTAAAGCCTATTGAGGGATTTTCTCCATGCTTTTCTTGTTCCACATGGGACCACATCAATGGAAGTTTTCACAGTATGCTGCACATCTACAGACTAGGCTCTAGGGCTCATCAGTTTAAGAGCTTCTAAGTACTGATACAGTTTTGTTTCCTAGGAGGGGAAGAAAGGGAAGAGGATACTCTTAAAAAAAAGCATTAGCTTGGAGGAATTCAGCCACCAAGTCCAGTTCTTTGGTATCCAAAGTATATATAGTAATGAATAAAATGGTCATCAACGCCAGTTAGTTGGATAGGTTATATATTAAGGTACCAATAAAGAGCTGGTGTGTAATTTCATCCAAACTCTCCCACTTCCACTACCAAATATATATATCTTTTTGTTAATTAATTTTCACTCATACACACACCTATAGTTGAGCCAAATTGAAATTTGATCATGAAAAATGCATACTCGAGTGAACCATGGATATTCATGAGGGAGATTCCAATCAAACTACCTCCCTTAAACAATTCATCTATTCACACAGGCTTACAGCATCCCTTCATTTGCACACAGTTACAGTAGCTATCACAATATAAGTACACAGGACAAAGGCAGTTACAACCTTAGACAAAAACAAGTTTTCACCTTTCGGCCACACCATTTCAACCATGCAGTAATTATGTATTTACATCAATCTATTAAGTAGGGTTTCTATAGACATTGATTAGAGGAGCTTGCAAATTCACTATATGCTACTGCAAGTCAGGTCAATATCATAATATTATCAATTAAGCATCATAGAGAAAAATCATATAAATATGTAATAACTGATTCTTAGATATCGAAGGAAAACACATACTGTACTTCGTAATTATCTCCCAGAAAATTCAAAAAAACTCTTGACCCCAAAATCCAATTGCAAGAAAATCAGCCAAATTCTATCATTATATTAAGGTATAGCAAAATCCCATTTCAAATTACAACCACTATATTGAGATTATCAAGGTATAACAATTTTTTTTCAGCATAGCATATAGATTCAACAATTTGCCCAGACAATAATATCTCAAAACAACACAAAATCAACAGCAAAAAAAAGGGGAAGAAAATATAGTTTACCTGCTTTCGATTATCTGAGAAAAGGCAAGAAAATCTGCCATTACAGCGTAATTGAAGACTCAAAGCAGCAAAATTTTGATGGCGAGATGAGGAAATTAGAGAAGATAAAGCTGGGGTTTTGCTGGGAAGAAGGCTAAGGTTTAGAAGTTGGGTCATTTTGGCTTTCTTTTCATTTCTCCCACTTTGGACAACACTCACTTTGTAGGATTTCTGGTTCAAGTGGGTGGGTGAGTCTTAGACTCTTAGCCTCTTAGGCTCTTAGCTTCATGCTTGGTGTTGATTGAGTGAATGATCCAATTCGATTGTGAATGTAACCGTGTAAGGATGACACTTGGTCGGGTTGGCTCATAGAATGGTATGTGTATTATTGTGTTTGTCGTCTTGTCGGGTTGTGGTTAGCTTTGGGTCATACTTTTTTATTGTAGTGTATGCATAAATGAGGAACACCCAGTCAATTAGGCTGATTGACAAAATATGTAAATCAATCCCATTTGTGGGGCATAATCTGTCAGAAGAAATAATTAAATAATGCCTTGTACGGACGTTAATTGTAAGAAAGCAACGGAACCAATTTACACGTTAGGAACAGACGTTAATAACGTCGTTTACCTTTTTTTTCTTTTATGAAACACCCAAAATTTAATCCTAGCTAATTTACTCCGTAGAAAAAATTATTGTTGCTCCTTGATCCTCACCTCGATCTTCATTGGAACACTGGTGTACTCCTTCCCAGTTCGAGGGATGACAGAGTAGAAGTTCAATCTCCCATTGTTTTGGTCGTTTACCCAGGTATATTAATTCATTTTTGAAGATTTAAATTGATAATTTGTTGTGAGCAAATGGATTAAATTCTTCTAGTGAGAGTTTGATAACACACACAGTGGACTTAAAACTTCATGGGGGTCATTAAATTTACTTTTTTACTTTCTCAAAAAAAAAAAAAAACACATTTTTAACAGTGGATTGAGAAATTCATGTTCAACAATAAATAAAAAATTTTAACTAACAAATAATTAATGGGGAACCATATACTCGAGCACTTCGACCACGTACCACATATATCAATGAATTCGGTGAGTTAATTGGACTGCCGCAGCGCCTTGACTCAAATTCAAGCAACGTAATTGGCTCCAAATTCAGTAAAACCACAGCCACTACAATGTAAACTCAAAATCGCAGAGTTTATGAATTATCTTGGGATCGAATTAGTTGTATTCAATTGGAATTGCTCGAAGAAGTTGATTTTCAGTGGAGTTCGAATTAGAGTTTCGAAAGGGAAAGTGAAGGAAATTTTGTCTTCTGTTCATCAAGTACAAACAGCAGGGTTACGACCTTGACTAACCCAACGTTAGTCAATATTTGCCATGTCAATTTGCCATCCCAATTACATCTGGATTCACTTACATATTTACCCCTCACTAAATCATTGAAAAGACGAAATTACCCCTTGATTGACAAAGTTTGTAACTCAGCCTGATTAACTTGTATTTCCTCTGCATAAATAGCACTGTATACGCCAATATGTGGACTTTGGTCGGATCTAACCTACCCTTTTGAATATTTTGGCATGATAGTTAGTGGGCACAATGGCACATAAAACCAAATTTAGTCATGTCCAAGCCACAACACACACAACTCATCAAACAAAGATCATAATTTACTTCATGAAAGACGTGTTTATTCAGTAAATGTTGCAAAAATCTATAATTAAATTGATGTCATTGAATCAATGTGTGAAACTTAAACGAGTTTTTTTTTTTAACAGTGTTTTTTTTGTTTGTTTAAAGAGCCACAAGAGTGGGTGAAAAACAGATTATAACGCTGCTTCTCTCTCTAAAACAAAAACACTCCTCCTCTCTAAAAACAAAAACAGAGCCCCCTCAAACCACCCCTGCCGCCGGCGGCCAGAGCACCAGTGCTCAACCAAGGTCGTCGGCGAGCATTTCTTGACGACCTAGGCGACTATTCAAATGCGGTTCCTCCTAGTTATCCAAACATTCTAATTTTCTTGAAGAAAAGTTAGGGTTAGGGTTTCAGATTTCGATTTTGGGGGAACTTTTTTCGATCTTCTACCTTTCCAGATCGAAGGACTAGTGATTGGTTGTAATACACTGTTGTTCGGGGTGCTGTAGGTGCTGCTAACGGCGCATCTGACAGGGTTCTGCGGCTCTGCCAAGGTGTTCTTTATAATGGTCTCTCTGGTATGTCTTGTTTGGTTATGGAGAAGCTTGTTTTCTCTTTGTTTATCAGTTTGAACCTTAGTTTCTAGTTGTTTGGTATTTAAAGCTTGTCTTAGTTTTAAGTTTTTATGGATAAGTTTGAAGAACTTAGGGGGATTTTGTGTATTGCTCATGTTGAAAAAGATGATATATCTTCACATAAACTAGAGCTTTTAGTTGGAAAGTTGGAGAATCCTTATGGTATTCTGAAATTTGTTAGGGGTTTGAAAGATGAAGGTAATGCCTTCTACAAACAGTGTAATATGGGATTAGCGCTTACTAAATACTCTCTTGCACTCAAGCTATTATCTTTTGTTACGGTGGGTAATGATGAAGATAAATCAGTTTTTTCGAGCCTAGCTGTGTCTCTTAATTTGAACTTGGGTGCTTGTTATGTCAAAGAGGAAAAATTTGACAAGGTGGGTCAGTTGTGTTCTGCAGTTTTGTGTTATGATACTTCTAATGTGAAAGCTTATTTTAGAAGGGCGGTGGCAGATTTAGGGCTCAATAAACCCGAATTAGCTTTCATGGATCTTGCACAAGCAATTAGGATTGATCCGACCAACAGAGAGTTTCAACAAAAACTCAATGAGGTGATATCTTTATTGGGTTGGTCCTCAGATTTTGTTAATGAGGCACTTGCAGTTACAAGAGAGGATAAAATGTTTAGAGATTATGCTATAATTGGGAAAGAAGAAGAAAAGAGGAAGTTAGGGAAAAAAAGGGAAAAGAAAGGAAAGAGATGGTAGTGGAGATGGTTGTGTTCGTAGGTGTATTGGTGTAAAAGATGTCACCAAAAAGGAAAAGGATGTTGCTGGAAAATCTTTGAATTCGGAGGAGGGTAAAGTTAACCCTATCGATCAAGATCGAAGGCCCAACATTATTGATAACAATTCTGATCCGAAGTCAACTTCGGAAACAAAAAACCCAAATCTTACAGGGTCAAGTTATCGGTTTTGTAACCGAAAACATATTGATTCCTATTTGCATCTCACTCCAACAATGTATGGAGCGATTTCTAAAGGACGAACACTACACCACTATTGCTCTTCGAGGAAGGATTTTATTAGAATCCAAGTACTCGATCCTCCAAAGAAGATGGATTGTGTTGAAACTTAAGAAGTTTTTACACAATGGAGATTAGTCACCCCCCCTGTGAAAGGGCATGATAGGTGTGAAGCAACTCCAAATTTGGCACAAGATGATCCGACCACAGGTATGGTTGATCAAGTGTCATCGAGTGAAAGTACTTCGGTGCCCCTTCCAGTTGCTCCAGTCTACTCCCCGTTGAAGTCTGCTGCAAGCCCCAACAACCCCTCTTCTCAGAATTTGAAGTTATTGGTTTCTATTTGTCGTTCCAGAGCTAGAAGGAAAAGTCAATCTCTAAGAAGTTTAACTTCTTCTATCTTTACTAACCCTTTGTTTTGCAGGATGAGTGGCTCAAAAAGGAAAGCGTCTTATCCTACCGAACTCCTATGGCTTCCGAATAGAAAGTTGTTATATGGTTCTACCCCTAATGTTCTAGTGTGTACTTTAGTTTATGATTAATTTAGGAAAATATGGTAATTGGAAAAATGGGAAAAGTTGTCGAAACAATCCTGAAGATGAGGAAAAGGTTTGGAATGATGAGAGGATGAGTTTTTGACACTTTGGTACATCCCATATTACCCTTATTACTTGTTTTTTGAGGTTTGGTTGTTTTGGATCGAGAATAGTGGTAATAATAGTAGAATTACCCATAGTTACATTCTTATGACATCACTATTGTCAAATCACTATATTATGACAGCATTATATTTCAAAATTTCCCCATCATCAAAATGGAAACAAAACTCATTCTTAGTACTTTATAGACATGTTTATAGGTGTCTTATGATCTCAAACCACCTTATATGACACCAAGAGTCATCCCACATATTCAGTTCATTTTTTGAAAAAATGTCAAAAATTGACCTGAAATCGTGTATATAGCCTTCAATTTTGGACAATTTTTCACTTCTTTGGACCTGAAAACATATTTTACTGAGATGCTTTCCACGTACACTAATACACCTCAAGAGTCTATTTGGGTGGGTAAAACCATCCAATATGCCTTTAATATGTCAATTTACCCTTTTACGACTTGCACCGATTTCATAAACTCAAGGCCACCATGGACATTATGACACCATATAATGATCATATATGGTTCCAAATGACATTATATGACCCTGGGATGTATCCCCAAGTATCTCGAGATTTTCTGACACCGGGCCCCAAAACCTTCAAAATTGCCTAAAAAGTGTGAATTATAGCCTTCAATTTTGCAAATTTTCGACCTTTTTTTACCTGAAAACAAAAATTACCAAAAAGCTTCATATAGACCCTAATACCCTTCGGGAGTCCAATTGGGTGGGTGGAACCATCCAATTTGCCTTAAGCATCCAATTTTCCCCTTTTTGTACACGCCTCTTGTATTGGCTATAAGTTTTCAGGGGGCCTTTATGTAGCCGACTAATGGTCGTATATGGGTCCAAACAACATTATATGACCCCGGGATGCATGTTGTAGACTTTCGTGAATTTCTGACACTAGGTCCCGACACCTTCTAAATTGCTCTGTTTTCATGTATTATAACCTTCAGATTTGACTTTTGTACATCATTTTTTCACTTAGTGAGATTATGCATCTGAGTACTTCCATGGGTTCCCAAATGGACTTGGGAGGTTAATAGTGTCCGGAACCATCTCATTCATCCTTAATTATCATGTCTTAAGGCAAAGACGACATACCCTCAAATGATTGTTTGTATGCATTGCCCTTGGGTGCACATGCGGCAAGCCCCCTTGCACCATCCAACAACCCAACACATAGGCTTGTGACTTGTCTACATCCCATACTTAGCATTTTTTGGCATATAACATGCACCACTAACCTCGTTTTCCAAAACATAGGTGTTTTTTAGGGAATAGGGTGGGGGAGGGGATGAATCGAAGCAATATAGGGTTAAATCTCAGGGGACCCCTCTAACCTTGTTTTCCAATATATAGGTGTTTTTTAGGAATAGGGTGGGGGGGAGGGATGAATCGAAGCGACATAAGGTTGAATCTCAGTGGGTGGATCGTGGCAGCAGCAAGGCCACTCTACCACTTACAAATATCCCGTCGCATATTTAAGTTGTATGCAAAGGATTCAACCCGCTGCTCGGTAGGAATTGTACTTCCAGGCGGCTCTCGCGACGCATCCATCTTGCGAGATTAGCCTACAACACGTGCCCTTGGGGGTCGAAGCCCCTACTGTAGGGCAACAATCGGGCGGCGGGCGCATGCATCGCTTTTGACACGAATTTTGTCTTTGAGGAGTTCAGTCATAATCTACCACACGGTAGTTTCACGCCACTGGCTTTTCAACCAACCGTGAAGACCAATTTTGTGAATCAACGGTAATTAATTAGTTTTCACTAAATGTTGTTACAAAAAATGTCATATATACTCATCCTTCTTCACATGTATATTTTCTGATATAATCTGTATGTACTTTAGTATGTATAGTTAGATTTCTATAAAGAATGTAATGAATATTGAACTTTCCATTATTTTATGACACTAATATAGGAAATAAAGTAATTTTTAAAAGATAAACACTAATGTAAAAATGAAAAGAAGAACAATTTGTATGCACATACAGCTACTATGACATTTAACAACTACTCCAATTGTAGAACCCCAATTAGATTATCCATTTGACAAGTGGTTATAAGTGATAGTGTGGATTTTAATTTAGTTTATAACTATGAGATAAATCAGTGTCCATTATCATGGTGAATTAGTAATAGTAGGTCACTCAAATATCTCATATTTTACACAAATTTTTATTACTATCGATTACCACTTGATAGTTTGGTTTTGATGTTGGGTTGTAGATTTATAATGGACATCAGTATAGAGATTTGATATAATCTACGGAGTATAATATTTCATTATTGCTATTTATAACTAGCACGGATCGTCAAACATGCCGTTTATCGGTTTATGATAGATTAACCCGACCCGAATACCCGATGCATGTTATCAATCAATAATTGGGTCCGGTTTCCTCTCAATTGGGTTATCAAAAATCTATCAGTCGATCAAGAAGTCTTCTAATTGCTGAAGTCAATCTAAAAAACCCCAGAACCAAATCTCAGTCTTCTTCTTCCTGAAAAAACCACAAATTTTACAGAAAAAGAGGAGAGAGAAAGCAGAATCATGGCGGAAGATCTAGTATTGGACACAGCAATTAGAGACTGGGTTTTAATACCCTTATCAGTTGTGATGGTTCTCATTGGTGTTCTTCGTTACTTCGTCTCTAAGCTTATGCGCACCTTCCAAACCCCTGATGGCAAGATCGTCAAAGAAGGGTAATTCTCTTTCCATCTATTACGATTTTGTTACTAATTTGATTTTGGGGATGAATTTAATTGCGTTTTTATTGGGTTAATTTTTCTGGGTTGTAATTTGATTCGGAATTGAATTTGCAGGCAAGTGATAATTAGGGCAAGGAACTTGAGATCATCGGCTGATTTTATCCCTCTTAAATCGTTTCGAGCTCGACGTACCTATTACAGCAATGAGGTCCCTCTTTCTTTCTCTTGATTTTTGTAAAATTTAGCTTTTGAATTGGAATTTGGAGGAAGCTTGTTTACCTTTCAGCTGTAAATTGGTGAATTTGTTACTCCTCCCCTTTTTTTTCTGGGATTTTCGGCATTTTTGATAGCTTGGTTTTCACTTGTTAAACTATGGTGTTGTGGGTGTGGCTCACTTTGATGGAAAGCTTGCTATGTGCAGTAGTTTAAGCTTGGTGTTGATTAGTTGAACAAAAGATGAGATCTTGGCGATTTATTTTAAATTGGAGAGAAGTATTATGCTGCATTAGCAATAGTAATTATTCGAGCTATTATGATTTTGGCCTTCTAAGACTGTTTTGTTTTTTTAACTTGTGAATCTTGGTTGATTTCTTATGACCTGTAAGTGAAGAGTGTTGAAGATTAATTCATCCCTTGAAGTTCTTGTTCTATTAATACTCGCCATAGTAGAATTGAGGGATTAGTCACCATATAAGCGCATTTAGGATTTAGGAATCAGATGCACAGTAATGGCAATAAATTATGTAAATAGAAAATGGAGAAAATGAATTCTGTTGATACTTGAAAGGATCATAGCCATGTGGACGGGATAGTTGGACAAACCTAAGGAGCATTTAAGACCTTAAGAGGGTGGATTCAGCCATATCTGGGATTTCATTTTCACTTGAGGTGTAGGTTTTATGTCACTACTTAGTGGGGTGATGGAGTGGGAACTGAAGTGTGGTGACTGGTCATTTAGGAAAACTTCAAATGCGGCTCCTTCGTGATATATGATAAAAATAGTTTTGAGTTCTTTGGTTTGCTAACTCATACAGTTGGCAATGACAAGTTGGAAAGGGGAGAGGAAGCTGGCGCCTAGGGAGGAGAGAGAAAATGGGGTGGTCCTACTATGGGAGAGGAGATAGAGTAGAGTGGGTAATAGAGAGAGATAAGTGAAGTGGGTTTGTCATGGAGGAGGGAAAGAGAAAATAAGTGATATGCGAATAAAACAAACATTAATGGGTTTGTTATGGAGGAGGGAGAGAGAAAAGAAGTGATATGAGAGTAAAACAAACATTTTTCCACATAAAAGTTGCCTAAAATTGAAACATGTCAATTATAAAGAAACTTCCCTAAAAGGTATATGTGTCAACTAATTTGGAATGGAGGAAGTATAGTGTAGTGAACTAAGAGGTTGCACTTAGAGAATTTCTCACATATGCTATGATATGTGTGACAAGGGTTTTGTCCATTTTTGATAAGGAATGAGATTTGAGGTTCAGGGAATGTGTTGAAAAATCAACATCTTTATATGCAAATTGTGGCTCCTTGTTTGTTTTTTCTCATAATGATCACATACTAAATTTGAATGGCCTAGTTATCTCCATGGGTTGCATCATTATCTTTTCAAGTATCCTCTCCATTTCGTAATAATCGCAACACTTTCCTTTTAAATTATAATAATTGCTACACTTCCTTATTTTGTAAGGACCTACCATCATTTTCTTATTTCTCTCTCCTATTAACCCCACGTACGCTACTTTTTATTTATTTATTCTGTCTCCTATTAATTATTAAATTCCTATTTTGGCTCACACCCTATATTTTTCCTAAAATTATATGCCACACCTACTATTGTGATTATTATGAAATAGAGGGAGTAACTATACTTTGTTTGGAAACATGATTGAAGGGGAAGGAAGAGGAGGCAAAAAGGAGGAAGGGGAGGGAAAGAGAGGGATGGGTAAAATGGAGCTCTACTTTCTTTCCAACACTATATTTGGATAACAACAGTGAAAGGAAAGGGAGAGAAGAGAGAGATTGTCCTTCCATTTTCCTTCCAAAATCTCTCCTATCAAAAGGGAAAGAAAAATGGATCCCTCTCATTCCTATCCTTTTACTTGCCCT